TTCTTCAATCATAACACATACCGGGCCTTCTCGACTCATGTTCGTGGTTGCCACAGCTCTCACTCATTGTTATGGATTCTCTGCCTTCGTCTACTAACGGGACATCGTCCTCGTGGGAGTCCGTCTTGACGAATGCTCAATCCCATAAGGCGAGCATCGTGTTGCTCACTCCTACTATCGGCATCGTTCTCTGGTTCTTCGCCTCCTGGCAAACTTCTTCACTGAAAAGATACCCTGGTCCCTTCCTAGCAGGTCAGTCCAGTCACAAAAGTTTTCACCTCCAGACGGAACGGAAGAGACTATCTGCGATGCGAATAATACTTACCGTGCCCTAGGATGGACCAACCTATGGCGTCTTTGGCAAGTCATCTCAGCCGACTATGCCCCTCGAATGAAGAAGCTCCATGAGAAGTACGGGCCCGTAGTACGACTGGGCCCGAATCTCCTAGACATTGATATACCAGAGTTGGTCAAGGTCATCTACAGCACCGACGGAAAATGGACAAAGGTAGGTTCGCCAAACGACTTCCAGAACACTCAAAAACTTATCAATCGTTTCCAGTCAAACTTTTACCAGAATAGCAGTTCCATAATCAATGGCAAGATCACATATCACATGTTCAGCGAAGTCGACAATGTCGAGCACGCCAGATTGAAGAGGCCGGTGGTCCGACACTACTCCGTTCCCAGCGTGCTCGCAATGGAGCCACACATGGATCAGGTCATTGACGAGTTTTGCGATCATCTTCAAAGCCGATTCGTCGACACTGGCAAGACTTGCGACTTTGGTGACTGGTTAGCATACTGTAAGCACAACTGCCATCGCACCTTTCTTGGGCCTACTATCTAGTCTAGTACCCTTTCTCTGACATTCGGATCGCAGATGCATGGGACTTCCTCGGCTACGTCACATTCAGCAAGAAGTTTGGCTACATGGACGCAGGCCGCGACTTTGACGGCACTCTAGCCATCGGAGACCAGTCGATCGACTACCTGGGCCTCTGCGGTCAGATGCCGTGGATGGACTACTGGCTCGACAAGAACCCGGTCTATCCTCTTGGCCCACCAAATATCTCCAACGTGACCAAAATCGCTGTTGAGAACATGACTGAGCGCCTCAAAGGCGAAGATACAAACTTTACGCCCGAGAAGCCGGACTTCCTGCAGTATTTCATCGATTCCAAGGGAACGCATCCTGAAATTGTCAATGAGGGTACAATCATTGGGTACCTCCTGTTGAACTGTGAGTTCTACACTTACCCCGTCTGTCAAGATTGTGTTCGATGGGAACAGGGCTGATGCAAGATTACAGTAATCGCCGGCGCTGACACAACAGCCATCACCATGCGCGCCCTATTCTACTACTGCCTCAAGAACCCCCGCATCTGGAAGCGCCTCGAAGCCGAAGTCATAGCCAACATCCCCAGTGACAAGCCGGCATCCCACTCCGCCGCCCGCGCCCTCCCCTACCTCGAAGCAGTCTGCCGTGAAACGACCCGCTACCACCCAGCCGTATCCATGACGATGGAGCGCATCGTCCCCGAGGGCGGCCTTGCGCTCCCCGACGGCTCCGTCGTGCCCGGCGGCACCCTCGTCGGCATGAACCCGTACATTGTGGGCCGCAACAAGAGTGTATACGGCGAGGACGCCGACGAGTTCCGCCCCGAGCGCTGGCTGCGGCAGAAGGCTGAGGGCGAGGAGGCGTATAAGCTCCGAATGAGGCAGTGGAACGCGGCGGATATTACGTTTGGCGGGGGGTCGCGTATTTGTCTTGGAAGGAATTTGAGTCAGATGGAGGTGTACAAGGTTGTTCCGTCGCTGATTTCGAGATTCGAGATTGAGCTCGTGGATCCGAATGAGAAGTGGTGGACTAGCTCGCGGTGGTTTTACCGGACAAAGGGAGTTGTCTGTCACTTGAAGCGCAGAACCGCAAAGGTGTAAGGCGGTATTGTGCTGGAGGCGAATATCACACTCATCTTGCGTTCATGAGAAGGAATCGAAAGACTGATCAATGTACTTGAAGGTAGATTACTATTACTATGCTATAACACACACGCAAACTCCATTCATGCGGTGGGCGCGAATGTGCCGTTGGCGCACTCGAAGCCGAGGTTAGGGTTGAGCGTCGGCATCGCGTTCATGCAGATGAGCTTGGGGGCGCCGCAGCTCTGGGGGTGGATCTTGATGTCTCTGGTCTGGAAGTTCTTGCAAGACGTCTGGGTGTTGCACTCAATGATGACGGCCTCGGTGTGGGTGAGGTTAGGGAGTCCAGCGTTGTACCAGCAAGGCTGCGTATCATTGTCAGCATCCATGTACTCGTCGCAAATCGAACATCTTAAGACGTGTGAGGTGTGAGAGAAAAGACTTACGTTTGTGGTGCAGGATCCGTCACCAGGGTTGTTGGTGTTGATGCTACCGGAGAAGTGCTCCCAGGTGAAGTCCTCCATCATGACGGACGAGTTGTTGGGCCTGTCGCCGCCAGCGCTCGCCTGGTTGAAGTAGGTCTGCGTAACAAAGATGGGGAAGGTAACGTTGTCGAGGCGGATGTTGCTCCAGGTAATGTTCTTCGCCAACCCCTGCCCACCAATCCAGCTCTTGAAGCGCGCAGCATACAGCCCGCCGTGGACATCCACGTCCTCGAAGCGGATGTTCTTCACATCAGCTACAGAGGCGACCTTTGAGCCCAGCGAGCCGACGCTCATGCCGTGGGTCTCGAAGCCGATGGTGGCGTGCTTGAAGAGGACGTTGTTGGCGCCGTCGTTGATGGCGATGGCGTCGTCGCCGTTGAAGATGTTGCTGTTTGTGATGGTCACGTCCGTGGCGCCGACGTCGAAGCCGTCTGTGTTGAAGGGGAAACTGCTCGTCTCGGAGCGGGCGTCGATGACGGTGTCGGAGATTGTGATGTTCTTGCCCTTGATGGAGAAGTTCCAGCCGATGGGCTTGAGGGACTTCATGTTCTTCATGATGCCGTTGGTGACGCTGAACTGCATGAGATGGGGCCGGTTGGGCGTGCCGGCCTCGCCGGGTTTGTTGGCGTCCCACCAGGCTTGTCCATGGGACTTAATCCACCCGGCGTGAGGCTGTAGAAGGGGATTGTGAGTATCAATTGAGATTTTGCCAGGGTAACACAGTCAGAAAAACATACATCAGTTGAGGCGATCCATTGGACGTTGGTGCCGCCGATTTGGAACCATGTGAGCGTGCCGCCCTTGGCAGAAACAAGAGCCTGAACGGTGGGGATGTCCTCGGGCAGAGTGATGTTGCCGTTGACGGTGATGACGACGTTGGAAAGCTTGGTGGCGACAATCGGCTCGTAGGCCTTGTACTCGACGCCCTCACGGAAGATGATCTCAGCATTGCTAGCGCACTTGGTGAACGCCTCGGCGATGGCAGCCGCGTCCGATGTCGCATTGCTGGAGGGCGAAATAACACATTTCGTCGTCTGCGCGAGCGCGGGGGCCGCGAGAGAGAAAGCCACTGGCAGCAGGTTGCGGTACAGCATGACGGCGGCGAAGAATGTAGAGACCGTGGGTTGACGTTGAGAGAGAGGGTGAGCAGCTCAGTAGCGACTCAAGCTATCACGGCGGCCAAGCCGGGTTGTTATAAACATCTCAAAGCTTCGCCCCCGAGTCGTGGGACCCTCTCATAATGAGGGGTCCACAATGGAGAGGAAGGGTAACATCGGTCTCCCGGGTCAGAGCATATCGAAAATGGTACACCCGCATATTTTCTTGGGAATTTTTTTTAAGTTGGGTTGGGATTCCCCGGGATGGTGGTGGTTTTTTGCGGAGATGAGACTAGTATCAGGTAAGGAGAGGCCGAATCTTAACGGCTTACTGACGTTGGTCTCGGTGGGCAAAAACAGCCTCAGTTGCGGAGGGGAGAGGGGAGTGTAGGAGTCAGGGGGTGTCCCAAAAGGGGGATAGGCAAACGAACGCGAGTTCAGACGATCCACCGTTGCGGATGATTGGATGGAAAATTATTCCCCGTTTCCTTGACTGACCTTGCAAGTTGCGCTATGGAATTGAGTCCTTGCAAGCTACAGAAAGAGATCATCCGCACGTGTTGAAACTTGGTCCCTTCACCAGTTGGTAGTAGTGATCCCCGCGCTTGAACTTGCGCTTGACTAGGACCAGGGCCGGATGTGCGGCACACTACCCTGCGGCTCTTTTTCTCATGTTCTGCGAGGTGAAGACTTGGCGTTGGATCAGGAACAGAGAGGCAATGTCAGTAGAGAAGAGACGAGAAGATTATCGCTGGCAGAATTTATAGCTGGTCTGATAAAATGACATTGCTTGTCAATTTGCGTGATGCGACAAGTCATATCAAAGACACAGCCCTACGCACCTTGTCAATCTAAGACAGGGTGAATTAATCAAACCTTGTGCCATCTCAAGGAGCAATTTCCGGCTAAGCTTTGGGACGCAGTCTATATTTTGAATTTGAGCTTGCATGGATGCCACGAGATCTCAGATGAGCAGCACTCCAGTAGCATCTGTCAGCGGCCAGCGGGTAGACCAGGATTAGTTACGTGCCGTTGTCACTTTGTAGGTCTGATATATGGAAACTCAATGGTACAGACGGCAAGTGATTGTTCAGAAAGTCTCGATTTCGAGGTTCTCAACTTTTTTTACAAAAAATTCCTAGGTCCAAAGAAAGAACTCGTTGGAAGAAAAGACTGTATACGTGAGTTTCATCCAACAGACTTGTCGTCGTGGGCATCGAAGAAGCCAAGCCGGAACCCCGTCTGGATCGACAGATTGAGAAGACCGGGCCCGGCTCGGCAGTCTCGGCGCCCCGCTCTTTCCCGAGTGGTCGAAGCAGCCCCGGTCCTCCTTTGACATCCGATATCGAGAACAGTGTCGTCGTTTCCTATCAACTTGCCTTGATCTATACTAGGGGCGTACAAGACAAGTCATGCCTTGAGGTTTAGGCAGTTCAATGTTTTGAATTACATTCGATGAATGATTTGGTGTCGGGTATCATACACATGCCATGTCTCACTCCTCCTGCTGCTCTTCCGCATCGACATTCCCTCTCACCGGGGCGGCGGCCGCTGGTCTCGGCTGAAGCCCCTTTTGCTGGTCCAACTTCCTCCTCTCCCACGGCTTCAACTTGGTCTCCTCGGCCGGCCCATCCACCTCCTTGGCCCACTTGACCCAGTCGGAACGCCTCGTCTTCCACATGTCACCCTTCCACGTGCGCCAGACGCTGCGGCCCATCCAGGAGTCGCGCAGGGCCCTCTCGTGCTCCGCCAGCGCGCCGATGATGGTCTGCTTGACGTGAAACGGGATCGACCGGTCTGTGCCGCGGGAGGGCACCTCGATGATGGCGAGCACGACGTTGTGGCCAAACTGCGACTGGGCGAGCTCGGCCGCGTGCGGGGCAATCGCACCGACGAGCGCCTTGTGGAAGAACTCGTTTTGGGGGGCTGCCGGGGTGGCGAGGGCTGTCGTCAGGACGGTCATTGATGCCATTGACGTGGTTGCGAGCTTGACGAGGAGGTCTGGGGGCGTGGCGAGGAGGGATTTCTGGGCGACCTTGACGGGATTGCCTGAGGTCTTGAGCATAGCTGTTACGAGTTGACAGCCGTGGTTGGCGACGGCGGTCTTGTTCTGTGGGCCATCCTGCTGGAACTTCTTGTCGTCTGCGGCAGGCTCTTCCTCGACGAGATGGCACAGCTTCGGCACTACGTCCTTGGGGTTGGAGCCGAGCGCGTCGGTGAGGGCTCTTGTGAGCGCACTCTTCTCCTCATACGCGCCACGGGCCTCGCAGCGCTCAAAGAGGGTCTTGAGCACGTTGTACCGGGCCTTGGTCACCAAGAGGGGCACGGCGGGGACAATCTTCTTGACGGCCTCGACAAGGTCGTCCTTGCTGGCACGGTTCAGAACGCGGAGGGCGGGGTACGAGGCAATGTCGTTGCGGACGTAGGTTGCGATGCGCTCGCCGAAGAAGTTGCGAGAGAGCGCCTTGAAGATCTTGCCGGGGCAGTTTGTGAGGAGCGTTTCGAGAAGGCGAGATCCGATCTGGTCGTACACCATGCTGTTGACAAAGTCTGCCGCCTGCGATGACTCGTCGCTCAGAGATTTAGGTGCGTCGGGCAACAGCCTGTACAGCAGGGTGTCCTTTGTTGATGCTGCGGATTCCTTGTCGCTCTTGTGGTTGAGGGAGATGTCGAGTTCGAGCAGGAGCTGGAGGAGAGGGTTGCCCGTAGGGTGCTTGGCGAGCACGCGCAGCGCGGTAAAGTCCATGCCGGAAACAGCATCCTGAATGATCTTCTTGGTGGCCATGGTAAAGGATTCGGGAACGGCCCTCAGCTGGTGGGTGAGTTCGTCTGCGGTTGCTGTGGCTCCCTGGACGGAAATGTACTCCTTCTTCTTGCTCTTCAGCATCGACTTGGTAGCTGCGTCGTCCAGTGGTCTTCCGGACAGAACAACCAGGAGCACGCGCAGGGTATGGGACCCGAATCTGTCCGTCAGGAGGAATCCCATGTGCTGTTCGAACTCATCGAGGGTCATAAGGAAGAGGTCCTCCATAGTGTTCTCAGGCGCCGGCTCGCCGTCCTCTTCAGTATTCATCTCGTCGTCCGCCTTAGATTCCGGTACGATACCTCCCAACTCTTGTGTCACAACTGGTGCCGATTCGAGGAACAGCTTCTCACAGCAGTGACTGGCAAATCGATGCTGTACCAGGGACAGGAAATGAGTAGCAAAAGCGTTGAAGATCTGCTTCTTCTGTCTTGTGTTCGAAAGGATAATGAGGCGCTCCATGAGTCGTGAAAGCGATTGACTGCTGGCCAACTTCAATTCCTTGCCCCGCGCCTCCTTGTACACGTTTTGCAGGAAGACGTCGCGCTCCTCGGAGGAGGGAAACTGGTTCAATTCGAGCAGCTCGTCGGCGCGGCGGAAGTATTCCTGTTCCTCGTCGGCAAGCATTCCGAAGAACTCCACCTCGGGCCCATTGCCACGGAATGACTGCTCCTGCTCGTTCGCCGCATCGTCGAAGGCGGGCTGTTGTTCGCCATGCTGTTCCTCGTCCTCGACCCGCCTGCGCTTCGACGATCGTTCCTCTTTGTTCGCCTCGTAATTCTCTTCATCCACCTCCCTCCTCTTCTTCTTCCGCTCGTCGCGGATCGCTTGACGTTTCGTTCTCGGCTTCGGCATTGTGATTGAGGGCTGGAGGTTGCAAGGCGAAAAGTATTTTGCTGGGGAACTGGGCGGGTTCGTCGTACCGAACACTGGAGAGACGAGTAGCTCAAGAAAAAAAACTTTTGGGCTCCTTTATCTAATCTCTTATCTTATCTGGGACCACCCCACCACCCACTCCTACCTTACTGTCCCTCATCCAGGCTCATCATCCATGCTCCCCCAGAAATGTCTCCTCCGTCTTCCATCTAGGTTCGCTTCGATTCTTCTCATCTCCTGGTAAAAGATGCTTCTAGCTCTTCTCACTTATAAGATCTCTTCTTATTTGATACTTCTGTCATCCAAGCTTGTCTCGGTCACAGGTAGCGCCATCAACGCCCAAACACATTGCGCACGCAGCATCTCGTCTATGAACCTTCTGCTGGCATTGGTTCGGCCGAGTCTATCATCTAAGACATCATTCTTCGATGTCTTCATATCGAATTGCACCATTTTACCACATGATTCTCTCGCACTTACGCCGCAATCTCCTTGCCGACTTCTTCTAGCGCCTTGACCAAGCCCTCGACGGTTCCCTGTAGGGTCTGACAGTTGACGACAACCCGGAAGAAGCTACCTCGTTCCCCAGGAGCATAGTCGATCATGAAGCCGCGCTGTATCAGCTTGTGGACCATTTCGCTGGTCCGTCTCGTGTTCGCCTCGGGTTCCTCTGCAAGCTGGCCGTTTGGCGCATAGTAGAAGCAGACCTGCAAGCAAGGTGGCGGGTTCGACGAGACCAGGACAAAGTTGTCGCTCTTCTGCACCAACGTCGCGAGGTGCTCCGCCAGGGAAAACGCATGATCAATCTGCTGCTCGAAGCCGCCGGCGCCATAGTAGATCCAGGCCAGCGCCAGCTTCAGACTGTCGCCCCTACGTCCGCACTGGAGGGTCAGGTCCGCCAGATCCCACACGTCCTCGGCCTCGTCCACGTTGTGGAACAAGTACCCGGCAGGCAAGGTGTTTGCCTTTTGGAATACCTTCTCGTCAGGCGTCAGCAGGAACGAGCACGTCACGGGCACGTTCATCATCTTGTGTGGGTTGACCGTCAACGAGTCGGCTAGATGGGAGCCCTTGAGCTTTGCCTTTTGCTTCCCCGAGAAGATAGCAGACCCTCCCCAGCTGGCGTCGATGTGGAACCACAGGCCAAACTCCTTGCAGATGCTCGAAATCTCCTCAAAGGGGTCGTAGGAGCCCATGACTGTCGTTCCGGCGGTCGAGTTGACGTACAAGGGCGTCTTGCCCTCGGCTTTGGCGCGGACGACGAGCTCGCGGAGGGCTTCGGGGATCATGCGTCCGGTGTCGTCGATGGGCACGGCCCACACGCTCGACGCGCCGAGGCCGCAGGCGAGAGCGCTCTTCTCGACAGAGTAGTGGCCGTGGGCGCTGGTGAAGATGACAAAGTCGTGCGAGCCGTTACCGGATGCCTTTGTCTCGGGGTAGAGGGCGCTCCGCGCCACGACGAGGGAGGTCAGGTTGGAGGCGCTGCCGCCCTGGCAGGTGACGCCGCCGGCGCGGGGGCCGTTGAAGCCGAAGAGGTTTGCAAACTTTCGTGCCGTGATCTTTTCGATTATGCTCAGTGCAGGCGAGACTTGGTAGACGTGGAGCTTGGTTTACTTAGCAAAGACAATACCGCAAGACCAGGGGACAGGTGAACTTACATTTGTGTTTAGGACAGATAGAACGAGATCGGAGACGACGCCAACCTGTGAAAAGTCAGAGCTTCATCCAGCGCATCGCGCATGTATCAGAAGGGTTGCGAACATACCGGAGTATTGCTTGCATACAACTTATCCATGAAGCCCTGATCCCAGGTGTTGACGCTGTACCTAAGGATCTTTTGCACGACATCGAGCAAGCCCTCCTTACCGAGCCCATCGCCCTCGGGAAGAGAGAGCTTCAACTTTTCGACCAACGCCTCAGGCTTCTGGGTGTCGACCAAGACATTGCTGGGGACGCCTTCAATGTCAACGGATGTGAAGCCGTTGGCCTTTTGGCCAGCTGCCTCATCGGCTGCTCTGATGTACGGGACGATCAGACCCTTGACGGCATCGAGCAGCTATTGAACAGGGAGCAGGCAGATCAGTCGGGATGTCCGGGCAGCATGTCGCACCCAGCCTAGCTGACGATGCTGAGACACTTACATCCTCTACTTCCTCGGCTCTTTTGAGCGTCTGCGGGACTGCATGGTGCCCATTTGTGCCGTTGGTGCCGTTCATCGTTGTTGTGCTGAGAGATTGAAACTTCCCTTCCACCGGAAGTCTGAGAAAGTTTCGAAAATTCTTTCAGAAATGTCAGAAGCTCAGACAGTGAAAGTTTCGCCAAAATTACCGCTCAAACTGGACAGAACGGAATGAATTGTTGGTATATCCAAGTCTTCAAATCGCTTGCTCGGTCCACTCTATGTTTCTCCAATGTCGACTCCAACCAGAATGAGTAATAACGTTAGGAGAAATTCTTCAACAGCCGGCGTTTATTCCCCGATGACGGCACATCGGAGCAAAGTGGCGCGAGCCCACCTTTACCCACCCGGCTAGGAAACTAGTTGCAATCGCCGAGTCTGTGCCGTGTATGGCATGACAAGGATCTAGTGTTTCCAGCTTAATAACAGCGTCGCCGCGATCACGTTTCGAAATCTCACGTATGTGATTAACCAATTTTTAAGGAATGTCTGGATTTGGATTTACCCCCAACATATTCAAAGCCCTCAATATTCTACTCAAATGTCAGACGCAGCATCTACGTTCTGCTCCACACGCATACCGCTGGGCAGATTGTCCTTGACCGCATCCTTGATCACCTCACCGCCAGTCCTCATAGCCTGGATGATGCCAGCCGCAGGCATGGGAACGCCGACCTTGTGTAAAATGTCAGTTTGCTCTGCGATTGCATCGATGCGGGATTGAAGGCCGTCGGAGATTTCCTGCTGCTTCTAAAATGAGAAAGATATCAATGTTAGTGATGTTCATTAACGCAGAAAGTCCCTCAGCCCGAATAGACACAAGGACTCACCTGAGCAACAAGCTCGTTTATAGCCTTATTAGCAGCATCTGTGAAGTTATTAAGCTGGTCGCGCTTGGGAGCGATCTCCTCAGCAGTCTTTGTGACCTTGCTTAGTTCCGTGAGAAGGTCAAGGCCCGGATTGACGTATTTGGCATGCACATTGGTATACATCTGGCAGATCATCTGCAGAAGATCAAAGTACGCCTTGATCTGCAGGGTTGAGATGTAGATGGTCTCGATATCGAGATCATTGAGCTTCAGGATACCCCTCTGCGACGCCTCCTGGCCGATAGCTGTGACATCGGTGTCAAAGTTCTTGACCTTGGTCTCAATGATGACTTTAACCATGGTAGAGAGAGCATTGAAGAAGGTAGTGAGCTTGCTGATCTGGACCTTGAGCTCAACCAGAATGGCAATGCACTCAATCAAGATCTCTTTGACGCGTTCAAGGGCTGCGCCGGCAATCTCGATGCCCTTGAGCTTAGTCTGAATGCCAGTCAGCCTCTTCTGAACCTCTGCGGCAGCTGCTACGGCGTTCGTGTAGTTTGCTTGGGCCGTCTCTAGGGCCTTTTGATTGAGGGCAAGCTTCTCGGTGGCAGTACTCAGGGCGGCAGTGATGGCGCTATTGTCCTTCTTATCCACAGAGATGTTATTCAACTTCGGCGCATTCGAGGAGGAGCCCGGGAACGATTTTGCTGTGGCCTCGAGCTTTGTGACAGTGAGCTTCGCCTGGGTAATGGCATCTTGCCACTTCTTGATGGAGGCTGGGTCCGTCTTTGCGGAGCTGAGCTTTTGCTGATTGGCGACCTCCTTCTTGATATCCTCGACGATAGCAATACTAGATTCAAAGGCAGCGGCAAGCTCCGTGCTGGGTGCACCAGTACCCAACTTTGCAGACCTCTGTTGCATCTGGAGGTTGCTGAGGAGCCAAGTAAGACCCTCGGTACCGGCTCCGTTCTTAGACGCCTGATCCTTGAACTTTGACCAGTCGGGGGTGCGGCCCTCACCCGCAGTAAGATAGGTCAAGAGTGTAGTCATAAAGGGAGCAAGAAGAGGGGCCGCGACATATGCAGGATCAGTCTCGGGAGTTGCGTCGTTGAATTGGAGGGTCGCACCGCCAGGCTGAGCGCCTTGCTGGCCTCCGAGAAGAGCTTGGGCAATGGGTGGCGCACCCGGAGCGTTGAGCGCGCCCTGGCGACCAACTTGAGCGAGTCCGCCTACAACTCCATTGACTGCAGACATAGGATTCGCGGCATTGATAATCGCAGGTAGCGCCTGGGCTACAAGCGATGGTCCTGCCGAAGCAATGGCATTCAAAGCACCCATAGCGCAGGTCTCCCAAGCTATACCAAGTTTTTGTTAGCATTTGATGGCATTGTGGTGGATGAGAACAAGTTAAGTTACCAGATGGCACAGCGTCGTTGGCGGCTTGAAATGCCTTCTCCTGCTTGGCAAGCGACTTCTTCATCTCTTCAGATGCCTTGTCGGCCTTCTCGAGTTCCTTGTTCGTGTAGCTTGCCTCGATCTCAGCCTGTAACTTAGCGGATAGATTGTCTTGCGACTCCTTCTCAGTGGTACCGTGCTTCTGAACAGAGGCCTGGTGAAACTCGGAAACAGCCAGAAGCCATGTATCAAAGGCCTTTTCGGTGTCCTGGGCGTAGTTGAGGCAATTGTTGGACATCCTTCGCAACTTTACAAGCTCGTTCGTCAAGTTGCGCTGAGTGTCCGGGAGGCCCTGGATGGCTTTAACAGTGCGAGTGACGGTCTCTATGAGCTCAGAAGACGTGCCGGCAATGGCTGACATGTTGCTTCCCGCAATGCGAAATGCCTTGTCGCCTTCCCCGGCAACAAATACCAGGCATGCTCTGAGAGTTGGTTTGGCGGCAACACTATAGATGATTAGGTCGCCGTTGTCGTGGGATGTATGGAGAAGTAAAGAAGGGGAACAAACCGCAAATACTTAAATCCTCCAGCTGGGACAGCGTCGCCCAAGCTGATAGCTGCGGCTTCGGGCGAAGCCGCGGCGACATGGCAAGCGCCAACCAACGTAATGGCAGTTGGAGCTGCGGAAAGAAGCTCATTCCAGTTGTACTGGAAAAGAAGAGACTCCTTGACCTCTTGAACGAACTGGGCTCCCGCCTTGCCTCCATGAGTCTTCTTCAAGACGGCCTGTTGAGCGGCTTCAACCTTGGCAAGACTATCAGCAGACATAATGATAGTTTCGGGATGGAGAAATTTGATGTCTTGAAGGTTAGATGGTAATTTGTGTGAGAATTGGTGGTAATGGGCAGTGATTGTTGTTTAAAAACCTATTGGTAGTGAATCTGATGAGCAAAACTTTCTTCTTTATACTTGACAGCGGACCAGTCTAACATTTTCTGCTTTACAAGTTTCGATAGTACAAATGTATATGCTCAACTAAGCTTCTGACGCAAGCAGATCACTAAGGCACTACGGTAAGTCCACATTTTCGCAAATTGCGGCCCAGATTTCGAAGGCTTCCTGTTTCTTGGAGTCTCTCTGTGCAAGCGCCGCGCTTTACAAGTCTGACATCCTCCGCCGATTGCCACTCTGGGTGCGGAAACATCGGGTCTGTTTTCCCCATGTTCAGCCAGCCAGAAAACATCGAGTGAAGTAGTTTCGCCAAAAGCCTCTCTGAAAACAGTTCTCGACTACGAGTTTGTCACAGAGACTTTCAGCTGACTAGCGTAGTTGAGATAGACGATGCCCACATTTCTCCAGCTTCCTACGGCCGAGACCGGTGACAGGAGCTCTGTGAAGGTCAGCAGCGGCGAGTTTTGACGTCTTTCGTGTTCTGGACTCAAAATCCCCAGCGTTGCGATGTGATAGTGGCTTGACAGACTAGAGCTGCAGGAAGGTTTCTCCATCATGCCGCTAAATTTCCAACCAAGGACTACTATCTGGAAGAAATATTCGAAGAATCAACCAAACCCATGATTAAGTATTCGATCTAAATGCACTTTGCTTCAAACAGGACAACAGCCACAATGTCTTTATAGGGGATCATCATCGCTCAATCAAACAGCCAAATTCTATCAACCTGCATTCTTGATACTGAACACTTTTACTCTTTGGAATTCTCTTTCTTTGCCGTCACAATGTACAACACATATCTTGACTCATTCCATAATCTCCAGGCCAAATCGAACACGTTCCAGAAACGTCTCGATGACCAGCGTGCTGAAGATGGTACCCTATTCAGTGAAGCTGCCGCTTTACTAGACAAGGCCAATGACGCCGCCTTTGAGGGACTTGAGACCTTAGTCGTCCAACTCCTACAGATAGCAGATGGCGATTCGCCTGTCGGTAAAGACGCTGTACCGCAGCTCCCCATTGCTATCGAGCTCTTCCACAAGCTGGCTGAGTCCTGCGAAGGTTCCGTTGACCGTATCGGTCAGGAGTTCATAGATACGACTCAGTACGGCGGGGAAAATAAGCAGCTCCAAGATGATATCCAGGCACTCCTCAACAAAATCAGTGGGGAGGTCCTTGGCGCACAAAGCGCGCTCCAAAGGGCCGAAGACAGGCTCAGGAGCTGCTCCGAGAGTGTCGCGATTGCTGAAAGCAATTTGAGGGATGCGAGAGATAAGAAAGATGTAAGCGGCTTTTGTACATGACAGAATTACTTGAGCTGTCTGCTAAACCTTTATTTTTGATATGTAGGGCTGGTACGACGTATCCTCTTTTTTTGGCGGGGGCGGAGATATCGATCACCAAGTTCGGGTGAACGAGCAAAACGTCAATACGTGCCAACGAAATTGGGAAGATGCCAATAGGGGAAAGAATGACTGCTGGAATAACCTTTCCAATTTGCAGAGCTTGACCCCAAGGGTACAGGAGCTTACAAGGCTCTTGGATGATCTCTTCTGGCAGATGAATTTTGAATATGAGAAGATCGTCAAGGACAGAAAGATCATCGAACGGACTTGGGTGGCGACTAGGGCGCTTGACTACCACGTCAGCACCAACGATGTCGACACCTCCCGTGATGACATTCTACGTCATGTGGTTCAGTTGATTCACATGAGAGTGGAACAGGTGGATGAGGATCCGGATGTCCAGCGGTTCAAAAAAAACATTGAGAGACGGATGCGCGAAGCACTGGGTGAGGCTCATGTCAAAGAGCTCCACCAGGAAAGGAAATTCCTCCCCATGGAAGATGCCGACTTTTAGTCTATTTGTGCTAGTCTCAATTTTGATATTGTTCCTAGGTTAATCCTCACCTTGAGACGAAAGAATTAGCGATCACCACTACGATAAGTCAAGGGTTCCAAATACGTAGGAGTAAGGCAGCTGATGTCAGTGCCGCAAGTCAAAGTGCGGAACCAATAAAGTATCTAGGCATCCACGGCCCGGGCCGTCGGCTCTCGGGAAGGTTTACAGAAGAATCCGCGCATGGAGAACCAGTATTAGATGAAATAGCTGAAATTGCAAACTATCTGCCAGTGGCTTCCTGAGCTACTAACAAAACCCTGTGTGAGGGGTATCACACCCGTCGCGGGTCGACGTCAGCGCATGAGCCTCCAGCTCTTCTCCAACTAAGAAGTGATGCTCAACTTTTGGTATGCCAGGATAGGGGCAATAGGATCGGATGTTCGTATAATTCGCCAATACCCCTCATAGCAGTACGTACCCTTGTACTAACGTGGCCCACGATCGATGGGATATGCCGAGTGATAGAGATGCAAGTTTGTGTTGAGACATGTTTGCAGTTAGAAAGGGAGCTAGGCCGGCTGGTGGGGAGGGACCGGGTATGCGGAACTGGCGTCGCTACCTGAGCTAGTGCTGTGCAAGTCAACAGTCAGCCAGCCACGGGACGGAGAACGCTGGCGCGTAAGGGTGCCGAGGCGCTGCCTGAAGCGGGGGTTGATATCTCGAAGCAGCTTGGATAAGGGTGGTCAATGATTTCAAGTCCATCACGCAGCATATATCGGAAGGACCATTCCGGAGAAATTTGCCCGTTGGCATTAGAAGGACAGAGGCGCAGACCTCTAGAAGACATGGTTCAAGCCAGGCTCGCCTAGACTCAGCAACCCCACACCCAGCCAGCCACATGGGCTTTGTTAATTGATGAACTAGTTGGAGAGGTCGATTTTATATACGGGGATATGTTCATCGTCTGAATAGAGTGTGGACATTCAGGTGGTAAAAGAGGGGCAAGGCATGGTTCGGTAGACTCGCAAATCACGACGCTAGACGTGAAACAGGATAATACACACAGCTTAACCAAGTAATTAATCTTGACAAGGAGCACATCACATGTGTTTCAGGCCGGGTAGAATAGCTTCAAATGAATTGATATCACTATCACATTCATTAGCCCCGGTCTGGGTTACGATCGATCACTCAGCCGCATAGAGTCACCGAAACCAGCAGCCAGGTGTACGAGGCTTCCGCGTGGCTGGCTGATTGGAAGAAATACCTAAAAGATTTGATTCCGTCAGCCGATTGCCTTCATGAAACCACGACTGCATGGCTTCCTTTTCGAAGTAGGTAGTGATGTGTAGAACCGCAGCTGGACCAGTCACTCCATCAACCATCACACTCTCAGTCTCGGGCCATCCAGAGGTAGACCATCCGTGATCCAGAAGTGTAAGTAACCAGTTAAGCGACGCCGTATCTTTCAACTCCGGTGGTCTCAGACAATTTCCCTCGTTTAAGAGTTATAGAGACAGCACGAAGAGAAGTACCGACGTTTGCATACAAGACGCCACCAAATAAGTCAAGGTTGCAAAGATACGTAGTCTGTACTGGAAATCATACTGAATAGCATCACATTTCCAAACCCAGACACGAAAGTCAGTGCTATAAATGAAGCTGCCCACCCTTTTGCGTTGTACAATCAGAAAGTGCCCTATCGCCTTTTCATGCTCTCCTTTCAGACTCCAAATTCAGTACGCAAACAATGTTTTTGTCCAAGTACTTTGTTTGGCTCACAAATTGAAATAGATCCAATTCTCTCTTGAAGAGGCCGCTTCAGACTATTCTGTCTACCGCCCACGCTCAGCCCCTTGCGAGTTGCAGTAGCCCTGTTGAGGTAACCGACTCCACCCCCACCGATCTTGCAAGTCTCTTGCTGTATTGATAATTTAGCGTCTTTATTCAATGTTAACTGACTGGCCATAGTCAAAATGGAATCGAAATATAATGCCAGCAACGATATCGCAGATAAACTCGCGAAATTAGATCGTGGCTCCACCGTCCTTGAGCTCATTACCAAATTCGAGCAGGCGGAATTCCTAAAAGCAAATCTGAAAACCGATTCTCTGTCGAATAACTTGGGCAAGCCTTTGCTTGATGATCACTATGCAGATGGAGCAGCTGAAGGAGTCTGCTCGGCTGCGGTGATGCACTGGCTTGATACCGGCAACGTCCCCGCTCCCACCGAGAATATGGCTACAAAGCTGTCTCGAGTCCAAGGCTCTTTTGACCTTGACAATGAGCGTGAATACTTGAAATGGATCAGCAATCTATCAGGCTCTTTCAAGAAGCTCAAAGAACCTGTCAAAGACAGCAAGGGCTTGAATCTCGACGACACCCAAGTTTTCATCAACTATCTGCTTGATTTCTCGGGTAAGATTAACACAGAGTTCAAGTTTTTCCTCATCCTTTCTTTCCGGAATGGCATCAAACAATGTGCCCATGCGGTTGGCTGGAATCTTGGAACCAGAAGCTTCTTCGATCCCAATTACGGCGTTTGGAAGATCAAAACACCCGGTGCCAAGGATAGCAGTTGGAATTTCATCCCTTTCAGTAATGGTTCCGATCCTGCCACAGACATTGCCTCTTCACTTCTCGGTTTGGATGAGATTCGCGAAAAATACGGGAAGCAAGTCTCTGTCATGGCTATCACTTTCTGACCTATGTTTGAAAAAGATTGTCTTGTAGATTAATCTTCTTTGAAATAGCTATTATTTTGGGCGAATTCTGGCAGAAAGTGAGCGATGATCCTAGTCATGCTGTAGTCGTGAACCCATGCTAATTTTCTTCACGGTGTCTTATTGGTTTGACCAAAAGTTGATGATACAGGCTGTGACACTCGTTGTCAATCAATATTACTAACAAGCGAGGTGTTGAGTTCAAGGAAGTCAGAGATATGGAGGACCGAGACATAATTGGCATTTAGGAACCAAAGCAACTTGATAGAATGAGTTGAGAACAAAATTCCCATGGCCCTCGGATTGTGAGCTGCAGTGAGCAGCGGTATGTCCAATAACATTGTGACCTAACAATAGTGTTTAGATCAGCACTTCTTTCGACGAATCAAGTTGAATGGGTTCATTCTAGGTATGTGGCTTAATTAACGTCCTGGATTTTGTAGACAGACACGTTATTCCGTTACTCACATTTGAGTTCCCCAAGAGGGCATCAATCAGCAGATCAAGCCTGGTCAACGTACCTAATCTGGACTCCCGAGGACCGCTTGCAAGCAGAGGACCCTCGATCGGATGGGATGCGGCACAGTCAGATCTCTCCCGTCGACCCGGATTTGTCCCACTGAACCGCCGTATCAAGCAAATGATCTAGCGGTGTCTCACCGGGTACCGAGAGTCTAAATTAAGGTGGCCGATTCTTGTTCGGCCCTGCTCCGGATCCCGGCCATGTAGAGTGGCCTGCCACTAAATATCAACGACTTTCTAACAGTACGTCCCGACAAGATGCTAGCCAGCGACTTAGCGACTTAACGACTTTGCGACTGGCACAGTCCTTATTGATCGATCATTCAAAATGCTATTGGGGGGACCGAATCAGGGATACAGTCGAGCACGGGGACTGCTTGTTGGAAGAGTGCCCTTCACTGAGCTACAGTACACTGGAAGCACACAATATGGATCATGCGATGTCAAGTCAAGCTATTGAGTCCCACAGACTAGGAGCCATCCGCGCTCGGTTTTCACGAACCCGATGAATCGATTCTAACACCATGACAAACCCTCCAGCGATACAACCCGGGCATTAGTTGGCATTCAGCTTGCTTGTCCAAAGAGTCCCGAGGGGGCGAACCATGACCACGCAGGATCAACAGACGACATTGGTTTGAGATGCCACGGGGAAAGTTTCACAGGATTGAAAGCTGGAACCCCCGGGCCCCTGTCACCCCACGACCTTTCCAGGAAGAAGGGGCATACCTGTGACCAATGCGGGTGAGGTGGCATTTGACAAGATGTTGAAACGCAGGTTCACCATCGTCATTGGAGGATAGAAATCCGTACACCTGATTGTACCATGATGTTTCCTCTACACTGCAGAGTACGAAGTATTCGGGGAGAAAATATGCAGCTAATTATTAATACCCGCTGGGCTGACCTGCATCGGATTGCGCCGCCATCAGCCGCCCAGGGACGAATCTGCATGCAGTCCGCCTGATTGCAAGGCGTTCTATTTTGCCATGTGCATGATGCACCTTCGACGCAGGGGGAGGGAAGCGGGAATGCATAGAACAAACATTGTTCGATCGAAGGGGATTGCCCGCCTGCAAACAGGAATTGGAGTGATCGCGTGGCACGACAAAGCGAACAAAGAGAATGATCCCAGAGACACGTGGTATGAGATTCAGGAACGCCCCAAACCCAAAACCCCGGATGAGAAAACGGTCTCAGAGGGGAGGGGGGGAAGAAGTGCTTGCTTGCTTGCTGCTTCTGGTGGATGGTGTACGGACTACGAAGTACTACGTACCAACCTGACCATGGAACCGGGAATCAGGGCCGAGTGGGCGATGCGACGGGGATAGCGTCATCGCTTGGTGTTGAACTTGAACCCGCCAGACCGGATGCACTTGGTTCCATTTGCCAGGCAGGCTTTGCCTAAGTAGCGTGAAGCGTGAAGCGTGAAGCGTCGCTGGAAGTCTCCATGTCTTGAGTCTTTGGGCTTTCACTCTGGAATCGGGAAACTGTTGCAGAGTAAAAATATGTGAGTCTCACTCGCTCTCCTCACAGTGAGACACCATGCACCAAGAAAAACGTTGTCGTAAGGCATCAATTGAAATTCACCATCCCAAGACGGGTTACGAGTTTGACGCAGAACTAGACAAAATAGGAAGAAGGCGAGGAAAATCTTTTTGCAGCTTTGCGCCGTTGCGGGCGTTATGAGTCCTTGTTCCTGGAACCTATTCCTGGTTCCTGGGGTTGGTGTTTGGTCGCTTAGAGGACGATCAACTGTCGCCAAACAGGGGC